CAATGATGGTGCCAACTTGGGCCAGTGAAGCAACGTCCTCCACAACTAGACTGAAGAACAAAACGACAGCAACTTGTCTGTTCCCCTTCCCACAATTCCCCAGCACTGTTCCCATCTCCGCAGTTCCCCAATAAAAATCTTAAAAAAAAAAAAACTCATTAAAATAAAACCTGACATCTTGACATAAAGTCCTAAATATTGGACAGTAGTATTTTTCTAGTAGTAAAACTATAGGGATTTAAACGTTAATGTCCGATGATAGTAGCCTTATGAAAATAAAAGTGTTCCTCAACCCAAAGGAATCCCAGCCCGATTAGCTAATGTAGAGATAATTATTTATAATAGCACTTACTGGTAAAGAGGAAGGAGTGAAACTTTAGATGTGACTTAGGCAGGATTTACTTGTAGTTCTGAAGCACTGAAGTGGAAGTCAGCGCACTGACTCAGAGCATTGTGATTGTCCAGCTGTCCACGGGCATGCCTCTCCTATGTGTAGTCACACATCACAATGCCAGAGGGAAGACTAACTGGAGGCAATGGTCATGGAACTACTTAACCAGAGAAATCTCACCACAGCTGAGAGAGAGGAACATTTACTTACTTATCTGCAATACTTTGAAGTTAATTTTCATTGATTTCCAAAGCACATATGAAATGGCACACTGGGTCCAATTAATGGCCACCCAGTCTAGTTCTCTACCTGGGAAAGCAATACCAAGGGTGATTTCTGTAAAGACCTCAGTGATTTCTTTCTAATATAATGACCTAATTTATTTTTCTAGGAGCCACTCAACTAGTGGGGAAAGAAGAAGTCTGCTTTGTTTGACATATTTCTTTTATAGCAATGTCTCCTTTGTCTTAGGAATACTTTATATAAATCAGTCCAGTCAGATAAGATACCCAGCATAAAAAGCATACACCAAGGCAGATAAGCACCCAATACCTACTAATATGACCAATCATGGATATGTTCCTTTATTCCAAAAAGAGCCACTTCTATTTTCTTATATCTTTTTTATTATTTGTTATTTTGGAGCTTCTCAGAAGATTTGGGAAACAATACATCAATTGTCAGGCCCCAAACCTGGTCATATAAATGTATAACTTCCCTGTATAATATGCCATTTTATATTTTGGCATATTATTTTTGGCTTATGTACCAAAACATTGCCACTCTCTTCCTATGGCTTTTTAAAAATACAGCCTGCTTCAGGATGCCCTTATAGGCAGTTGCATTTCATTCATAAAATAAGTCAAACTGGGGTTAACAAAAATGACCAGCCTAAAAAGTACATTGTTTTGCTTGGTTTGGGGCAGTCTAGACTGAAACACTTATGTTTACTTGATAATTCTTTGTAGATGCCACTTCCTCCAGGCAGCCTTCCCTGACTCTTCCCTACCAGGATTAGCCCTTCCTCTTTGTGCTCCCATGATACCCTGGGAGGATACCCTGTCCTCACCTGGATTTGTTTGATGTCTTGTCTTTTTCCTCCTCTAAACTATGAGATCCTTGTGGCGGGGACATTTCATTTTCCTTTGGCTCCCCAGCATCCAGAAAAATGTTTGATGTGTACTAAGTGCTTAAAAAGTTTCCACAGGATGAATGAACAGTCTAAAGTTATTATCCTACGGCTTTCTAGTCCATTCATGTATAAAACATTTTTTTTCTGATAACAAAGCAACATAATTGGATAATTTGAAGAGCAGTCGTTAAGATCATCATCATGGACTGTTTGGTGATTTAGCTCATTATCTACAAATAGGACCATTTTAAAGGCTTAAATTGATGGATTTAATTTTACCTTGCTATTGTGAATATCACTGACATTAACAACAGGACCCCCACACACAAAGTCTTCAAAGTGTTTATGCTCGTTAGATACCAAAAAAAAAAAAAGAGAGAGAAAATAATCTGTACATAAATTCCAATACCTAGATTTTGAAATTCAGAGCAGAGAGGCAGGGTGTCTATTTATTTTGAGAATGGAAAGTCAGGAGTCTTGCAAATCAGGCACGTGTTGCAGTTGCTTCCCTGGAACATTGTCAGACCAATCGGAGTTTGTGAAGAACTTTTATGGACAGTATAAATATTTTGAGCCGGAGGCATCATTACCAGCTGATATTTTCTTTCCTCAGGACCAGCTGTTCAGGGGCATCTCGGACGAGAGCCAGGCACATTTGAGACTTGGATCTCACTAAAGACTGCCGCAGATTCGTGTGCAGCAATGTCGGTGTTAGAGGAAAGCCGACCATTCGCTCAACAGCTATCCAATGTCTACTTTACGATACTTTCACTTTTCTGTTTTAAGCTTTTTGTGAAAATCAGCCTGGCCATCCTCAGCCACTTCTACATTGTGAAAGGGAACCGCAAGGAAGCGGCAAGGATAGCAGCTGAATTTTACGGAGTAACCCAAGGACAAGGTATGTTGATGGCAATGCCCTCTTGTTTCAAATGGAGCTTAACTATCGGTTCAACCACAAGCCCAGAAAACATCGCATGTTTTTTCTGGGCGGCTTCGAAGTGAATATTCTGTAAACTTCTTGTTACAGAAAAATTTTAATTCACTTCATGGTTTCATAAAAAAGAAAATTACTTTGCTGTGTGATTATCTGGGTTAATACAGCCAAGGTATTGTTGCAAAATAGATTAATGTAAACATACTATTTATTAGACATACATTTTTTAATTCATAAATATTTAAAATTTTCAAACATTTCATTTGCCAAGCCATAGTTTTAGAGGCTTCAATTGTCCTTTAACATGTACACAAATTTTTTTATGATTTTTAATTCAAATAGTTATATGTAAAATAATTGTTATTAAAATAACAATAGTTATATGTAAAATAATTGTTATTAAAAAGAGAAGATTTTGTCTTTCACACCTTTTATTTTACCAAGATTAACCACTTGATTAAGCATAAAGCACAATGTGTCAATATTAAGATTCATGACATGTGTTTTCCTGATGGAATCGTCGCTTTCCTTGATTTGTAAAAAGTTGATACAAGAGGATAGGAACATGAATTAACAAATTTTATGTGTGTGCAGACAAGTACATCTATCCATGCTTCTTAGAAGAAATTGGAGTGTGAGGCCAAATGAGAAACAATAGTTTCAACCATAAACTTTAAAGTTTGTAAAACCATTCACATACTATTGGGCTGATACTCTGTACAATGAAAACAGTTCTTATGGTGGACATCAAGGTGACATTTTAATTTCTTACAGTCTTTTAATTTCTGGTTTGAAAATCAGCAGGCAAGCATGCACATTTTTAGAGCTCAAAATACCTTTAAAGTAACTTAAAATTTCACAATCAAAATATGCTATCATATAATTAAAGAATGTAATATAAAAAAAGAACACTTAAGTAGAAAGCTGCCTTATTAAAATCTGTTTTTCTACATTTTTCAATTTTTGAAGATTTATTTTAAATCTACATTACTCTGTAAGTACACGGAAAGTTGACTGAAGGTAGATAATAAGTATATTTTGCCCAAGAAAGATTTTTCTTATGTGAAGTGAGGATTTTATGTACTCATTCAAAGTGAGGAAAATGTAAATGTCAGTATGAAATTCTCACAAGGAAGGTGGGATCTAGATGAAATAGGCGGTATTTAATTTGTCACCCACTAGCTCTGCTTCAGGCCAGGTATAGCTATTAAAATGTGGCATACATACATTATGTTGGTAGGTGGAATATTTTGTTTTAAAAACAGCAAACATAAAGACTAGATTTTAAAACAAGAAACATATTTCTAGATATAAGACTAAATAGATGATATGATCATAAGGTCCTACAGCTTACTCTCATGGGCAGCCTATAGCTTATCACTTCATATGTCTTGTCTCCATATTCTGAGAATTGCTGTACATGAAAATACGAAATAGGGACTAAAGATCCACATTTTTTGTGAATTGACAAGGGTTTAAGAGGAAGCTATGGAAGCTCCTATTTGCACATATTTACAAATAAAAAGGAATAATCGCCTTTTCTTTACTCTGGTCTCGGTGTACTTTAGCTGGGAAGTCACCGGAATATATGAAATGGCTTCCATGTTCCTGTCTAATTTTATGAATCTGTGTTAAAATATATTAGAATTCTAAGATTATGTTCCAAAAAAGGAAAGAAAGAAATTAACACTCACTAATAGAAAACACTTTTCCTGGGAATATAAAGTATTTAAAAATTTTGTTTTGTGTTGTTTTTAATGTTAGATTTATTTCACAAAATTGTGTCTTCCACCATCTTGCATTAATCTATATGTTAAGCAATACAATATATTATGATAATTTTTATTCAATGTAAACATAATTAGCTTCTTCTTCTTTTTTTTAATATTAGGAAGACAATCAGGTACCTTACAAACTCTTTCTTGATTTCCTACCTCTAAAAATTAATTCTTTCTTGCCCAGGAAATAATTTCTCCATTTTAATATAGCTTTTTCTTTTATTTACTACAATTAAACTTTTTATGTTGATTACATTTTTATAATTAACTAATCAGGCTTAATTATCTTTGTTTAATCTGGCAAGTTCCTCCTTCCTAGGAAAGATTATCACCTTCACTCCTCTTTGAATTAGGTTTCTCCTTCCTGCTTTTAAGACTTAGCCAGATTGTTCCCCAACATTTCTGATGTGGGGTTGCCAAATTCCATGAAATATGAGCCGATGTGTGTAGTTTCATGTCTTTCATAATTACGGAAGACCCTGTTGACAACATTCTGGATGTCCTCCCCACACGCAGTAATGCTGTGGTATGAAACGAGAGAAACTGTCTTCCTCAATATTATTGCAAATCCTTTCATTGTATCAGACAAATGTTGGGAGGTCTTTTTAAAGCACTTTCCAATCAGTCTTCCAACCAATGTATGATTACACAAGAATACCGAAAAGCTAAGTGGTAGCTAAAATAGCTAAGGTTGTTTCCTTCTCAATCTCTTTGCTATTCCAGTAAACCTGACAAATCTGCTGTTTCGTCTTTTGTACCCAAGATTTTTATCAACTCCACCATCATGCTCAAGGGACCTATTTGTTACACTTTTCTATATAACTACCTCCTGTATCATTCTTGCTGCTGAATGCTCTGATGACAATCTCTGTATAACAGAGGTCTAGTCTATTTTTAATGGTAACAGTCTACTTTGAGACTGACAGTGAAACTAATAGGAGTTAAAAGGTGTTTTCAACTGTAATATCAAACAGTACAGAGAACACATGAGGATGTGGGGTAGTACACTGATTTTCTGAAATCACTCTAAGGGTCTAGAAGAATCCATGAACTGCTGATATCCCAAGGACACCTCAAGAGGCAACTCCTGTCTTCTGTTAAGGGGAATACTTTTCCAGTTTTATCTTAGGATCTGAAGGAAGTTCAGTAATTTTACCTACAAGTGGACAGGGCCAGATCTAAGCACCTGATTTATTGAGTATCCCTGGTATTAAGGAACTACTGAAACATAATATAACAAAGGTAAAAAATATACTGTTTCCACCTGTAAGTAGTTTATTCTAATTAAGGAGATAGTATACTGACATATATAATAATAATTACTTTTCAGATATACTAAATACCAAAAGAATGTAAAGAATAGAAAGGTCAGTTTCAGATTTAGGCTTTCAGAGATATCTTCACGAAGGAGGTACATCTTTTTTTCTTTTTTTTTAAATAATGTTTTTGTTTTTCAATTACAGTCGACATACAATATTATATTGGTTAAGGTATACAACATAGTGAATACACATTTATATAACTTACAAAGTGATCCTTCTGATACATCTAGTACCCATCTGACTCCATACATAGTTATTACAATATTATTGATTATATTCCTTGTGCTTTACTCTACATCCCCATGACTATTTTATAACAACAAATTTGAACTTCCCCTTTTTTCACCCACCCCAACTCCTCTCCCATCTGGCAACCATCAAAATGTTCTCTGTATCTGTGAGTTTTTGTCCATTTTGTTTGTTTATTTTGTTTCTTAAATTCCACATGTAAGTGAAATGATATGGTTTTTTTCATTCACTGACTTACCGCACTTAGCATAATACTCTCTAGGTCCACACACGTTGTTGCAGATGGCAAGATTTCATTCTTTTACATGACTGAATAATATTCCATTGTATATATGTGCCACATCTTCTTTATTCACTTATCCATTGATGGACACTTAGGTTGCTTCCACATCTTGGCTATTGTAAATAATGCTGCAATGAGCACATGAATGCATATGTCTTTTCATATTAGTGTTTTGGGTTTCTTCAGATAAATACCCAGAAGTGGAATTACTGGGACTTTCTTTGTATCTTATTATAGCCTTTATTTTAAGTCTATTTTGTTTGATATAAGTATTGCTACTCCAGCTTTTTTTGTTTGTTTGTTTTCAGGAATTATTTTTTCCATCCCTCTACTTTCAGTCTATGTGTGTCTTTCTATATGAAGTGAGTTTCTTGTAGTCAGCATATGTAAGGGTCTTGTTTTCTTATCCATTCAGCCATCCCATGTCTTTTAATTAGAGCAATTAATCCATTTACATTAAAACTAATTGTTGATAGGTATGTAGCTATTGCCATTTTACTATTTATTTATTTATTTATTTATCTATCTATCATCTTGAAGAAGTCCCTCTAACATTCCTTGTAATACTGGTTTGATGGTTAGCTTTTTCTTGTCTGGGAAGCTCTTTATCTGTCCTTTGATTTTAATTGATAGTCTTGCTGGGTAGAGTACCTTTGGGTATAGGTCCTTGCTTTTCATTACATTGAATATTTTGTGCCAATCCCTTGTGGCCTGCAGTTTCTGTTGAGAAATCATTTGACAGTCTTATGGGGGCTCCCTTATAAGTTACTAGTTGCTTTTCTCTTGCTGCTTTTCAGATTCTCTCTTTGTTTTTAACCTTTGCCATTTTAATTATAAAGTATCTTGATGTGGGCTTAGGTTCATCTTGTTTGGAAACTCTGCATTTCCTGGACTTGTGTATCTATTTTCTTCTCCAGGTTAGGGAAGTTTTCAGTCATTATTTCTTTAAATAGGTTCTCAGTCCCTTGGTCTCTCTTTTCTCTTTCTCGTACCCCTATAATGTGAATGTTGGTATGCATAAGGTTGTTTCAGATGCCCCTTAAACTATCCACATTTTTTTAAATTCTTTTTTCTTTTTGCTGTTCTGATTGGGTGTTTTCTGTTACCTTATCTTCCAAATCATTGCTTCAGTTCTCTGCTTCATCTAATCTGTTGATTCCTTCTAATTTATTCTTCATTTCAGTTATTCTTTTCTTCACTTCTGACTGATTCCTTTTTATGTTTTCAATCTCCATTCTTATGTTTCCTATCTCTTTGGTGAAGTTCTCCCTGAGATCATTGAGCATTCTCATAACCAGTGTTTTGAACTCTGCATCTGATAGACTGCTTGTC